GCTGTCCAGGGCGCGGCGGCGGCGGCGGCCTTGGCCACGGGCCAGCCGGCGCGCACGGTGGATGGTCTGGGGTCCCCTCCGCGCCCTGCCTCCCACAGCTCTCCCAAGAGCTCCGACAAGTCCAAGAGCTTCAGCATAGACAGCATCCTGGCGGGACGGCAGGGCCAGGAGCCCACCGGAGGGGCCGAGCTCCCGGGGGGCGCCAAGCCTGCGCCCCGCAGCTGTCTGGGTGCCTCGCTTCTGGCCACCTCTGCGAGCCTCCCTCCGCCTTTCAACGCTTCCCTGATGCTCGACCCGCACGTCCAGGGCGGCTTTTACCAGCTCGGGATCCCTTTCCTCTCGTATTTCCCTCTGCAGCTTCCAGACACGGTGCTTCACTTCAGTAAAGCAAACGGTGGCGGCTCCTTCCCCTACCCTGGTCTGAGCTTGTGAGCGGCCGGGTCCCATCACCCGCGGGAAGGCGTCACGGTTTTTAAAAAACGAGCTTTTCTTCTGCAACGTGTGGATCCCGGGAAGTGTTACCAACTTTTGCGCGCAGGTGGGCAGGGGCTCCTGCCTCCTCCAAGGTGAGGTGGACCTTCCCAGAACCCGGAGCACCTTCGGAGATTTAAAAGACCCCGTCCCACTAGGACTTGGGCATCTCAGACCTCCTGCGGAGACAGCAGGAGGCTTCCTTGACCTCAGGGCAGTCTAAGGGCATTATCTCCCACTCCCCACCTCGGGTCCTGCGTGTCCGGAGCAGCAAGGGCCCAGACTACCCGACAGCAGGACCCACAGATGCGGTGAGGGTGGTTTCAAACAGAACCACCATCTATCTGACGGTGGCCAGCTCCCTTGTTTGTCCCTGTGGCCCAGGTCTTGGCTTTGAATCTGTGGGGTAATGGGTGTGCACAGCTGGGTTTGTCCCTGAAGTCCCAGTGTGGGGGCACCAGAAGTGACCTCTGTTTTTCAGGTTCTTCACGAGATCTAGGGCCTGGTGAGGATTTAAGACCAATGTCCAGGTGGACGGCTAAGAAATCACGTTTCTAGTTTAAATAGAGAATTTCTCTCTCTTTTTTTTTCTTTCTAGACATTTTTACTGGGGATATGCTATATTCTTTGGCTAGATGCTTGACTTTTTCCTACAATGATGGCCCTGTGAAAATTCTATGTTAACAACCCCTATTAAGAAAGTGCACTCTATACGATAGCGTTTGTTGTGTTACGACAGCTTGCCAGTCAATTCTCATGATCTCCAAGACATGTTACCAACATTCGCAGGCATCCCGTCTTGTTGCTTCTGTTTTTAAGGGATCAAAAGATAGCAGGGGACACTGGAAGTGTGTGACGAGGAGGGAAGGTGTCGTAGACAACACAAGACTTTCCATGTGCATGTTTTTTTTCAAGCTCTGGGTTTGGGTTTTGCTGCGTTTTCCAGAATTGCGTGGTAAAGGACCACTTTTCCTTAAGAAAGTTGGATGGAAACACACACACACACACAAGCAGATACTGGGAGAGATGGGTCATGCTGGGCAGAGAAAAAGGAATCTTCTGATGATATCTGCTGGAGGGTGCCTCTCTGGACCCCAAAGAACAGGAGGCTCAGGGGGAGGGTTCTATCAGACATCCTCTCTCTAAGCCTCTACCCTTGGGCCTAGAGCCTGCAGCTAAATAAACACCTTATGGAGGTGACTGGAAATCTGGGGGTGGGGGTGGGGAGCAGGAAGGCGGGGGCGGGGGGGGGGGGGGGGGGGGGGGGAGTGCTCTGCAACAAAGATCTGCTTAAGAAAATGGAGATTTTTACAGCCCAGTTCAGCTTGGAACTTTCGGGAAGCGCATCTAACCTCTTACAGTATCTCTCTTTGGGTTGCGTTGGGTGGGAAACTGGGTTTTCTGAGCCTCCAGGTTACCTTAATTTTATCTGACGTGGGAAAAGGCACAATAAGTCATGAGTCCTGGAGGTAAACTGAGATAGATCTCCCAAATAACTTTTAAAATGATTTCCAGGACTTATAGAAAAATGAACACAAGCTTTACAACAGGAGAGCCTAGTGGCTAATATATTTGGAAGGACATTTCAGACGAGCATAGTCATTTAATTATTAGTAAGCACAGAGTTGGCTTCCCGAGAATTTATCCCTAAAGCCGTGTGCTACCGATGCATAAATTTCCTCGAGCACGTTCTACCCAGGTTGGTGGGAACATTTTGGTGAGCTGGAGAGTATCCTTGATTTTAAGAACTTTGACAAGATCCCACTGTTGACATCCAGGCTCACTGCGATTAACACACGGGGCAGTGGCAGGCCTGTCTCGATATGTTGTTATCCCAGAGTCTCAGCCCCTGTGAATAAAGTTGTCTTTTCATTAACCTCTCAGTGACTGATTCAGTGGATTACTGGGGGGAATAAGCAAACAGTGTAACAGGAGAGAGGAGTCAGGGACTACGTTTCGGAGCCCTGTCAGCATCTCCGGGGCTCTGGCTTCTGAGCGTTGGGCGCCCTCACCACACCACAGGAGCAGAGCAGCCCGGGGCTAGTGCTTCCTGCCCCAACACGGATGGCAACTCCACTGTATGTTTTTTGTTTTTGTTTTTAATTTCTCCTCTTTGGGTTTGATTTGCTCTCTCATGTGTTCTCTTAATTTATGGTGGCTGTTTTCTGGAGAAGCCAATAATCGACTACGGCCATTTTTGAAGGATGGTATGTTAGAGTTACAACTCCAAGAAGTATAAGGTAAACATTATTTTTATGGCTCAGGAAAAAAAAAAAGGCAGGAGTATGTATCTGCTTTGTAATAGAGTTTATAGTTATGTAAAGAGAGCTTCGGTTACCTAATCCCCCCACTCATCTGGTTTGGGAAGGCTGACAGAACGGACAGTAGGGTGATGGAATCTGCAGAATCGGTACAGTCCCGTGAACGTTGCTTCCCACTGAAGAAAGAGAGGACCCGTGGGTGGGTCTTAGGAACCCAAACAGCTGCTCCAGTTGTGATCGTGGTTATAATCACGGCCTCCAAATTACAGATCAGTAAGAAAAAAAGTTTCTACTCTTAGTTAAAGCGAACTCACCTTTGTATTTAAAAACTTTTTTTTTTAAATGTGTCTTTAGTTTTGAGAAAGAGAGAGAGGGTGAGCAGGGGAGGGGCAGACAGAGAAAGAGACACAGAACCCGAAGCAGGCTCCAGGCTCCGAGCCGTCAGCACAGAGCCCGCCGTGGGGCTCGAACTCACAGACCGCGAGATCATGACCTGAGCTGAAGTCGGACGCTCAACCGACGGAGCCACCCAAGCACCCCTCCCCTCTGTATTTAGTGTAGACCAGAAGCAACCTTACTGTTCTACTCTTAGGCAACCTGGAGATGCACTTCTGTGCTCCCATCTAAACAAAGCGAACAGATTCTGGCTTCTGAAAAAGGTCTTTGGTTCAAGTTCAGCGTGCACACGCCCACAGAGACACACACCGATCGCGTTACGCACACTGATGTGTGCACTGATCATGAAATGGGGATATGGCAGGTGTGCAATGTACAAAGATACATACGTAAGTGTGTAATAATACATGCGCATGGGTGTATATATGGATACGTGTATTTGTATATGTGCGTGTGTGTGTGGGCACCTGTGTACAGAATGTTCAGAAATTCCTCTTTTTCTGCATAAAAGTGGGACAGATGATCTCAGATCAAGTGCTGAATCCTTTCAAGCGAACACAACTATAGATTTTTTCAGAAAGATTTTCTTTTTCGGTACAGTTCAAGCCGGGGAAAATTGGGGTTTTGCACCATTATAATGAAAATAACAAAGACTTCATTAAAGAATCTTGGCGGGCACACCAACATCGAGACCTTTACTTGTACGACTTTTACAAGGATACGAGAACTTTGCAAAGGCTTTCTGCTTTGGTTTTAGATGTCCGTTGGCTCTTGTGGTAGCTCACGGCCACCCTGGGTCCCAAATGCCCCCTAAAGTGTTCCGGAACCAAAACAGGATGTGATTTGCCATTCTCGGATCTGATCGCATCTCTCTGAGCAGGACTCCACGTGTGGTGTCTCCCATTTCACGAAGCGTGGTCGGCGTGTATCCTTGTGTGGGTTAAAGAATTAGCCACGTGTGCTGTTATTGTTACGGCTGAAAGCCAGAGCCCGTCTGCTCAGACACTCGTAGACTAATGCTAACGTCATAAACGTGGCTGACGCTTCCGGCGGCTGGCCGTTCCAAGCGAGAGCCACGACTTTCTATACTCTTCCCGTCTTCATGGTGGCTGGAAACATCTTGCCTCCACGAAGTAGGGGTTGTTCCACAGGGTAACAAATGCACGTGAGGATAAGCAAGGTTTATTCTTTAGAAAGAAAGTGCGTGTGTTTGCTGGAAAAGCAAAGTAAAATTCTTTGGATGCACATTGCTAGCGGTTTTGAAAAATGGGTCTGCATAGCGAAGTGGCAAGTTCTCTGCTACACTTGTCCTTATCCAGAGGTTCCTTACTGAGGAACCCTAGACTTGGGGTTCTTCGGGGTCAGGCAGAAACCAGGTATGTGCACAGCGGTACATAGGGGTGAACTTGCCAGGATAGGACGGGGGAGGATGCACTGTGGTGGGGGCAGCGCACACAGCGAGGGCCCAGCACAGTCGAGGGGTCCTTCCTTCAGGGCCGTCGGTGGTGGCTGCCCCGACCCCACTGTTGGTCCGGGAGCTAAGAGCAGGACGACACGGAAAGCTGCAGCTGGCCGTCCAGGAGACTGGATTCTCCCATCTGCCAAACTTCCTACAGAGGTGACGCGAGTCCCCCATCTGAGACCCTCTGAAGTAGGCAGGGCCTGGGTCTGGACTTAGCTCCCTAGGGCCCTGTTCCTGGCCATACAGTCTCTGCCTTCACAGCTTCGAGCCTGAGTCGCTGGGGGCTGTGAATGACTGTACGCGGATATCTATCAGTTCACTGAGAATCTAAAACAAAGTCCCCTTTTACTAACAGTGTCCTGCACGTGGCCGGTACATTCTCCTCCTGTGGGATGCGTGGTCCACACGCTGGTGAGGGCATCCCCCGGCCCAAGTCCAGAGCAAGAGGGGGCACAGATGAAGCGTCTGGGCCCCAGGACAGCATCCAGGTCAAGCCTTCTTGGAAGGGTGCAGGGCCACTCTGGCGTCCACAGGACCGTGTCACCTTGGACAACACTAAGTTTTAAGCATGACTCGGGTCCTCATGACGTGCAATGTAAATTATTAGAAATGTCGTGCCTCTCCAGCATGCTGCCGTCACACATCTTTCCCCGGTAACTGGTCCCCACGTACCGTGTTGCATTTTTCCAGGTCTCTCTAGACACACCCAGGAGCTGGGAAGGATCCCTCTCATTACTGCCTTGTTGACTTAGTACCATTCATTCAGTAGGTTGAGTTTGGGTGGGGGTGGGAAGGGAGGGGTATGTTACCCTGGTTAAGAGCGTGTCCTCGGGGTCCACCAG